TGCTAGAAATTTCTCTCTACATGGCTTTTCTAAAATTGTCTTGCTTCCTAAAATTTAAGCCCTCATCAACAAAATGTTCGTGCTGCTGCCAGTTTTCTTCTTAAAAAAAGCATGCAAATAAACAAAATAATATGTAATCATGCCTGGCCTATGCTCATAGATCTTCAACTGCTTGAAGTCTAAACTATCTAGTATTATAACCAAGTTTGCTTTCAATGTGGTTTCAGCTTGCCTTCCCCATTTCCCCAGCTCTGGCCATGTTAAACCATTTGCTGTTCCTCAAACCATCAGTGCATTTTGTTCCTGTCTCTGTGCATTTATTCAAAGTGTACCCTTTGCCTTGGATGTCCTTTTTCTTCCATTTCATTAAATTCTTCCCAGTGATTTCTTATTTTCCTTTATCGCTAAAGTATATTCGTCATCACTGCCTTTCTCCCCTTGCCTAAATTTTTGAGGGAAAGAATCATATCTTATTCAGTTCTGCTTCCCCAAAATGTTTAGCGGAGTGTCTGGCACATAGTTGGTACTCAATAAATCTTTGCTAAATGAATGAATAGATGAGTAAATGGATGAAAAGATGAAAGCATGAGCTTCTTTGCTGGCTGGAAAGATAGATGAATAGATACATGGATGAATAAATGCTGTGAAGAGTCATGCCACGAATAGTAATTCAGCAGTGAAATCACTTTGTTGCATTCAGGACATGAGATCCAGAGAGAGCAATGCTGAGATGCTCTTGAACATGGGGAATGATGAGACAGTTGGCATCAGGGCTGTCTTCAACAATGGAAACTGCAAGGATGTTCATAGCGTCCATAACAACATCAAAACATGGCCATGGGCTCCTTGAGCCATCCTTTCAACTGGATAATTCATAGAGGTTGTCAAAACCTGTAGATATGTTAAGTTTTTATTCTCAGATGCAGAATTCAGTCTCCTAGTTGGAAAGAGACTTCTGAAATATGCAAGACGAATCTGTGAAGGACATGTTGAACACTTCAGGTTCTCACATGGTCTAGGACTCCATGTTCCTTCTCTTCTTCCAGGGTTTGGCTGCTACCTGAAATTTCTGAAAGGCCTACTATCTTCCATGGTCCAGGAGAGGAAGGAATCAATAGGGGCCAACACCATTTACTAAAAGCTGAGAACTCAAGAGTTGCAAAACACGGAAATAAATCATGTTTGAAGAGGAATAGGAGGGAAAGCAGGAAGGAGAAAAGGGTCAGGGAGAAGATGGCAGGACGGGCATTTCTTTTTAATTCCATCTTGGAAATAAGGAGTGTACCCTTGGAAAATGCAGAGAAAAATGAGAGATGGCTTTACATTTATCCTAACTATAGACTGTGAAAAAGTCACAGCAAATTCCCTGGAGGAAAGGTCCTTATGTGGACACTTTTTGTAAGTGTTTTCTGAAATGAAAAGTAGTCAAGGGATTTAAATTCTTTAAACAATTAACAATATATGGTTTTCAAATGCAGCCCAGAATGTGTCTACAACGAAAGGCTTATCTTTGTTGTGGATGAGCAGCTGAGAGCCTGAACGTAGTCTTTAAGGAAACCATTCTGAGACTCCAACCACCCTCAAGATCCTTTCAGAAACAACAGCTACTAGAAAAAAATCAAATAACAGGTAGGTAAGCCTGGAAGCGTGAAAGAATTAAAGCTGCATCTATTAAGTACCTTTGAGCTGAAGAGATTCCATCACCAAACAGTGAATGAAACACTACAGAGAAAGCCAGATTACAGATCTTGAGGCCTGAAGACCAAGCAACCATCAGCTGAAGAGTGCCAGCTTCTTTATACAGAGATAGCCCTTCTGCCCTCCACTCCCTCAATAATCTATCTGTCTAGTCTACTTTTAGACAGATATCTTAAGTAGGTACTGAATGGAGGTAGATACAATTATGATGTATGAAAGCACTCAAATCTCACTATACCTCTGGGAACAGGGGACAGACAATCTAAGAAAAAGCTGAAAAACAATCCTTTCTGTGTGGCTTTTTACATAGAGTCACAAAATGTTAGCACCAGAAAGGTCCTTAGTGAAACTCACAATTTCAGTTCTATGATGGGAAAACCAAGCATCAGAGAAGAGAAGGGACTTGCTCAAGGCCACATTCCTAGTTGCCATTTTGGAATATACTATATAATTTTGATTTGAGTGATGGGAATCAGAAGATAAAACTATATGAATTCTTCTTCTAGGTAATCAATTTGTCTATGCTAAATCCAAATCTCATGAAAATGGAAGTCTACTCCTTAAGGAATTGACAGGGCTACTTTGTATTGACACTTTCTTATCCATTGTTTGAGTAAAGGTGTGCTGTGCATTGGATGTGTAAGTTAACAAAAAACTTGAGAGGGTGTTGTGGCAGTAGGGTAGGGAATGTGGAGATAAGTTCATTCAGCAAAATGGAAAGATTTGTTCTTCAAGCAGTGATTTAAGAAGGTAAACAATTGGGTTTTTACTGGCATGATATTTGAACATAGCGTATGATTCACTCAATTACTAAAATTAGCTTCTGAATAGGTTTCTGGTGGTGCTTTTGGTTTCAGGTAATCAAGAGTGTTTTCTTGCAATTCTCTGGTGTTACATATTACATGGCATACCAAGTTATTTAGGGTAAAAGCCATAGGGAAGTGCTGTGTTACAGCCTTTCCAGCTAAATTACTAGTGACCTCAATGTCATATTAAGTCCCCACATTTGTCTAGCACTTTGCTATTTATCAAGGATGTTCACATTTATCATGTCATCTGATCATCATTATAACTCAGTGAGGATGGTATCTCTAAATCACCCATGAAGAAATTGAGGCCCAGAGGGGCACACAGTAAGTAAAGGAGCTGAACCTTTAAACTAGATCTGCCTGACTCTAAAGGCAAGGCCGTTTACACAATATCAAGAATCCTTGTATTTTGCAAACATTTCCTGAATTTTGCCAGCCTGAAGCTCTAATTCCTAGCATGGTGCCTTGTACGTGGAAGACACTGAGTAAATATCATGGGCATGGAAATGAAATTAAGGCCAGTCCCAGCACTTCTCAGTTTGTCTTCACTGTGTTCACCAAGCCCACTCAAATTTAAGTACTCTACCAATAAATCAATTTGAAAATGTACTGAACCATTCTCACCAATAAATTAATTTACAAACCTGCATCTGACTGCTGTATAGTATAGTGAAATTATCTGTTATACACAGGCTTCTTTTCAGAAGCGGTTCACTGTAATCATGTTACAGCCTGCTTTATAATGGAGAATGTTGGCTGAGACGTGGAATTAATGTTAAGATTTGCATCCAAATGTTATGAGGACTTTTGTTACCATTAGGTTTTAGCTGCATCAAAGTGGACTTGCAATTCATATTGCCAGATGGCAAGCCAAGAGGTTCCCTATCTGAGAGTCCCCATCTCTTATACTATACATAATTCGCGGAAGGCTACATAATTGACAATTGAATGCATAAGAACCCTCAACATGGGGCTGCAACATTCATTTGGAGAACATTTCCTCTTGTCAATCACTTTATCACCCTTCCTGCCTTTCCCTCTGTACTCCCTGATCCCAGTCCTACTTCTTCTCCACTGTAGACCTCAATTGTTGGATTTCTTTGCGGCACACCAAGCAAAACAAAACATGGTTGAGCTTTCTCAGATATCTGAGTCTCATTTGATGTGGATGCCTGGAAAGCCACTCATAGAACATCTACCTATGATGTTTGGGAGTACTAGATGCTACTTGAGATGCTTCTTTTGAAATTGTCTCTCATCTAGCCTGGGTAAATTCATTTGAGGTACTCTGTTCTGTTTAAATAATACTACTGTGCTGTGAGAATGGGGAGGATATAGTTTTCTACATGAAGATCCACAAACGGCCCTGCTCTAGGATAAGAGAACTAGCTGTTGCCTATAAATGTGCACATAGGCAAACAAGGTATTGAACACCTCACAGTAAGCCAGATAGAGACAACTGGGCTAAATTAACCTTAAGAGGAGAGAGAAAAGGGTTGGATTCTGGGCACTTGGGTTTTCTAGGCTAATAATGAATAATCAGGGTTGGGGCTACAGTTAAGGGCACTCAGAAACAAGCTTGTCTTTTTTCAGATTCCATTTCCAAATTGGAATAGATTAATGATCTTGTTATTCTCATGAAATATGCATCTTTTTGGAAGCAGCAGGCAGCAGCGAGGACCCTGGCATTGGGCAGATGTAAACATGAAGAGATGGGGAATTTGGAGAGAGAAAATATAAGTGTCAATCAACTGATGTCAAGCCTTTCCGGAACGGTGACAATGCTCATGGTAGACAGGCTCAGGGGGTAGAGAGTGTTATGATAGAGAACACCCTTGAAAGAGCCATATCTTCCTTCTATCATGTTACAGTGCCACTGAAAAGAATGTTTTTGGAAATGATCAATAGATTTGCAAAGAAAAGAAAATGATTAAAACATCTGTTCATCTTTGGGAGATATAGGATAGGAAATTGGCTCTGTTTGGCAGCCTAGTCTCAGGCTCCAAAGAGACGCAGCTTCTCATTCCAGGTGGCTGGCCCTACATCATAGGCAACAGTTAGCTGAAGGATATTCCCAGGTGTTTAGGGTCAGCCTGTGCCTGGGTTATCCTGCACCTGTGACTGTTCTGGATTTCTTAATTCTCTTATCCTAGCTTCCATTGAACAACATCACGCCAGTACCATTAAGTTCCCTGGGGACCCTGCCCAGTCACATGCATCCTCATTCACCCTCTGTTGGCTCCTGATCCCTGCTTCACACCTCCTGCTCTAATGCTGAGCCCCAGAATGGTGAGTGGCATAGTTAAAGATAAAAAAAGGCACCGGCTGGCTGATGGCCATGTTGGCTATGAAAGGGTCAGCCTGTGTCTAGAGCATGGCTGGTCACCTTGGAAGCATCAAAGAAGAAAATCTCATTTAAAAAGAGACTAGAAAATGAGGGAAGAAAGGGGGAAGGAGGACAGAGGAAGAGGAGGAGAAGAGAAAGTATCTTACCTCCCAGAGTCATCCCTGCTTCGTAACATTTTCGAAGACGACAAGATGGACAATTTTTCCTTCGGAATTTATCAATGGTGCAATCATTTCTGCTGGCACACAGGTACTTCTGTTTCCCTGGGAGAAGAAATACAAGGGTGGACAGACCTGTTAATGAATTTCCAGAGTCTCTTTCTTTGGGTATTTCTAGAACAGAGCATATATGGAGTTATATCCTACCACATAAAAAAGTGGACAGAGTATGGCCCCAAACAATTTGATCATAAAGAATCTTACTATTAAAACAGTTCGTTTTGGCACTACATTGTTGGATTTTCATAGGTGTTTTTTTTTTTTTTTTCAGGGATGAACAATTCAGATCCTGATGATACCTCCATTATTAGGACTACGTAGGTTTTTAAAATAAGATGCTCTAATTTTACCAAAAGCCAGAAATGCCCATGAGAAAATGATCCATTGTGGAACTTGTCACCCCTTTAGCACGGCATAGAAGAGATTTGAATTCAGTCAATATTTCTTCCTATTGACACATGTAATCATGCATAGAGTTCCACTCATGCTAATAAGAGGCTTATTTTTCGTAATAGTATAGGAAAACTTCTATAAAAGATAACTCCATGGGATTTCGAACTTTTTAGATTGCTAGTGATCACACCCCCAGTCTTGCAGGTTATAAAAATCAGAGATAAAGCCCACTCTGTGTAGTGAATCACAGCAAGTAAAAGGAAGTTCTATGAAGTCAACAGAGTAACAAAGATCACTGTCATGCACACCTGGAGTTGTCACAAATACACAGAATTGTGCACACACACATGCTCAGACCTAGAGATCCTCAGGATTACAGCTGCTCAAAACTCTGAAGGCTTACTCAAAAACATATTTTGCTCAATACTTTGCTCCTTTATCCTAGCACAATCCTGGCACACAGCAGGCTCTCAATAAACAGTGGACTGACTGACTAAACACATACATAGTAGCAGAGAGATGCATAGACACACAAAGTCACCAGCAGGAACAGGCAAAGATACATCTTTGGCTGCTCTGAAATATGCAGAACTTACGCTTACAACCCTGCTCCAGCCTGAGCTTCTGCATCCCCTCACTCCACTTTCTTTCTCTATGTTCCTGGTATTTTTTTCTCAAATTTATTGCTGTGTTTCGATTTACTGAATAGACTGGGATTTTAGGGAAGTTTCTTTAGGCAGAGGAAGAATGCTCATGGTGGGAAAAAGAAACAGAAACTAAAGAGTGATTGACACTTGAGAGCAGAAAAAAAAAAACCCAACTGAAAACATAAATTTAACTATACATCAGCTTTCGTCTCCCTTTTCTAAGCCTAAAACGTGCAGATTAGGTGCAGAAATGCAGCTATTACAGTAGGCTATTTTATGTAGTAGATTCAGTAGTATCTAGGTCAGCAAAGAACTTCTTTTACTTAAAGTGGTACTTGGAAGAACATACAATTAGCTTTATTGTAGTAAAGGATTCTTTTTCCTTTCCTCCTTTTTAATATTTTATTTTCTTGTTTTTTTCTGTTTAACTTTCCATTCTTCTTTCCTTCCTTTCTCCCTTTGTTAAAGGATTTCAAAATCCTGGGCTTGAAGGAACTATTAAAAATCACAACAGTACAACTCTCATCCCAAGGAGGAGTTCCAGGGAAGTGACTTATCTGAAGAAGCACACTGAATCAGAGGCTCCCAATGGAAGAAAACTACCATTTATTGGGTGCCTACTATAAACCAGGCTTGTGTTAGAGGTTTTTAGCATAGGAGAAAACTAAGGCCTCTAGGCCAGTGCCCTTTCTACCATACCATAGGATTTTATTTGCATAAATAGAACACAATTTGCTAACAGCTTTTTTTTTTTTTCTGCTGTAAACTGAGGACTGAGATATGTGCACAGAAGGGATGGTGCTATAAGTGATGTTCAGCCTTTGGGTGTTAGTTCCTCAAAAACAGGTCCTGTATTCAATTCTAGTGGGTTCAGTTCCAACGTTATAGTTGTTCTAGAACTGGTACACTTCCACAGTATTGGTACTGCTGCAGTCCTCAAGACTAGCTTGTTACACTGATTACTGAAATAACCTTAGGTTAGAAAGTACGTGATTTCATTAAGAAATCTCTTCTTCCCTAGGAAAATGCTAGTTCCTGGGCCCCAGTTTGCCAAGAAATGGTTGCACAGCCAATGGAATATGGCTCCCAAAATAGTTCTAGATTGCATTTCTGAAAGAGAATCTCTCTGTGAATGAGAGCGTTTATATTGGAAAAGTGTGGATTTTTTTTTTTTTTTTTTTTTTTTTTTTTTGAATTTGGAACTCAGATAACTTCCTTAGCATAGTTCAATTCAAAACTTTTCTCTGGGTTCCTCTTGATCTAAAACATGGCGACCTAAAACATACATATTCTTTACAGTATACTCAGGAGTAAGTGCAAAACCCAGTACAACCAAAGCCATTACATATTAATTTAACATTTACTGATAATCTATTATATGCCAGGCCCTGCACTGGGTATTGAGATTACAGAAGAAAATCTCCACTGAACAAAAATATACAAGTCCTAGATGAGAGAAAGAGCAGTGGGCTGGAAGCCCCAACATCTGAATCCTTGTTCAGCCTTATCACCAACTCACTATATGACCTTGGACAAATCCTTTTGCCTCTCTGGACTCCACGGATTACATGAAATAGATTGGACTAGAAAGTCATTAAATTTTTTTCAACTCTAAGAATCTTGAAGGACATCTGGATTTCTTCCGTAATATATTTTCAGCGTTTTTTTTTTTTTTTTTTTTTTTCAATGTAGAGGACTTAAGTATTACTGGTAAACAAGAAACTATCCAAAATAATAGTCTCTCGTCCATTTATTCAGTCTTTTTAGGACAGTAACTTATTGCAACATTGCCTCTTACATCTAGAATCGTGTAGTCTCTTGTCTTTGTTTTCAAAACCTCCCCCAAAACTCAAGGTGGTTAATACCGCCTTAGGCACTAATTTTGCCAATCACATGCAATGTAGGCATAAACATTTCATGTATGTGTGAGTGCACAGGTGTGTGAGTGTGTGTATGTGTGTGTATACACCCACACACTGGATTTTGGAATTATCTGTGCATATGTGGGTGATCACATAAAGCATAAAACACACCAAAACATACAAATAGGTATACATGACACGTGTTCCTTCAAAGCAGAATGATGGTTTTTTAATGTTTGAAATGATGCTTAATAGTTACAGAAGTGGTTGAGAATTCCAAAGATGGATATGAAAGGAGTCTTTTTTCTGTAAGTTCTAAAAGTAAGACCTTATTCATCTGTACAATTTGATTTAGAGGCAAAGATAGGGAATAGAACAGGTAATCTCTCAAGACTGCTTGCAAGTCACTTCTATCTAAATTATCACTTCCCCAAATAATGGGAGAGCCAAGGTAAAATCATTGGATTGCTATTATTTCTTTCCTATTTATTCAATTTCTCCAAATATATGGATGAGGCTATCAGAGTTATTAACAGTAATAATAATCACTCTCCTTTGATTAGTTTACAAAGTTCAATAATAATCTGCAGGGTTGGGCACAGTGCCTCACTCTTGTAATCCCAGCAGTTTGGGAGGCAAAGGTAGAAAGATTGCTTGAGCACAGGAGTTTGAGACCAGCCTGGGCAACATAGTGAGATTCCGTCTCTACAAAAACAACAAAAAATTAGCTGGGCCTGGTGGTGTGCACCTGTAGTCCCAACTACTTAGGAGGTTGAGGTGCTAGAATCCTTTGTGCCTGGGAGATTGTGGCTGAAGTAAGCTGTGATTGTGGTACTGTACTCCAGGCTGAGTGAGATCCCGTCTCAAAATAATTATAATCATAATCATAATTTGTGCAAAGTAAGTATAAGAGGGATTATCATATACCTTATTCTATGATGAAGAAAATGAGGCTCATTAATATGAAATTGGCTAGGACTTCCAGCATTATGTTGAATAGAAGTGATTACAGTGTGCATCCTTATCTCATTCACGGTCATTATCTTAGCTGTGGGCTTATCTGATATGGCCTTTTTGTGTAGAGTAACATTCCTTCTAATACCTGCTTTCTTGAAAGATTTTATTATAAAGTAATGTTGAATTTTGTCAAATTATTTTTCTGCATCTATTGAGATAATCATATAGTTTTTGTCTTTCATTCTGTTAATATGGCCTATCACATTTATTGACTTGCATATGTTTTTTTTTTCTGGTGAACATTTATTTTTTTTTATTGCATTTTAGGTTTTGGGGTACATGTGAAGAACATGCAAGATTGTTGCATAGGTACACACATGGCAGTGTGATTTGCTGCCTTCCTCCCCTTCACCTATAGCTGGCATTTCTCCCCATGCTATCTCTCCTCACCTCCCCACCCCCAGTCCCTCCCCCATTTCCCCCCAACAGACCCCAATGTGTAGTGCTCCCCTCCCTGTGTCCATGTGTTCTCATTGTTCAACACCCGCCTATGAGTGAGAATATGCGGTGTTTGATTTTCTGCTCTTGTGTCAGTTTGCATATGTTGAATCATCCTTGCATTCCAGAAACAATCCTAGTCTTTTTGAGGAATTTTGCATTTATGTTTATCAAGAATATTGTTCTGACTGGCATCATATTCTTGGTTTGCTGCAAATCACAGTCCATAAGGTTATGGATCCCAGATTGGTTGGAAAGAATTTTAAAGACTCTTTGCTTGTATCACATTCGTTCCTCCATACAAGGCTGGAATTCTCTCTGTAGCATCCCTGCAAACTGTTTGCCCCCATCTTTTCTTGAATGCACCCCATTTTATCTCTGGCCTGTGTTACAAGTCCCTTCCTTCCAGGAAACCCACTATTTCCTTTTAGCTCTAACCTATTGGGCCTAATTACAAACACAGAATCTTTGGGCTGTAAAGAATCCAAAAATGCCCAATGTGATGCCTGACTCTTCAGTTATGAACATGGTCACAATATATTGAAATGACATACCCTATGCCACAGCAAGTTGGTGTTAGTGCCAGCACAAAATATGGAAACTGGATCAGAAGGCAATATGGTGTGGGTGATTATAGTCTGAAGACAAAGCCTTCTGAGTGTGGCAGAAATCTTTGTTCTTTGTCTAG